ATTTCAAATTAAGTGTTAAAATGGCACCTTTATCCTGAGAAAGTAATTTTTTCAATTTTTGCTTCTCCCCACACTTGCAATAAGCATATAATCAGAAGTTTCTCAAGCATATATAGCTAGTAATGCATCCTAGAACATGTGAATCTACTTTTCCACATAACACCAAATTGTTTACAGAGGCAGTTGTTCACATTTACCTATCCTGTGCTAATTTCTCGGTATTACCTTGGTTATTTTTACTATGGCCAAAAGAGCAATTATTTCACCAGATGGAATATGGCTTTTCATTTTGGCTTTGACAAAAGCACAGAGTAGCACAGGACTTGAAAGTTCTTTGGTGGGATTGAGCAAAAAGGAAAAAAGACTCATGGACAGGGACAGGACTGTGGTGATTGCCAAGGGGGAGGGGTATAGGAGAACTAAATGGTAATGGGAAAAATACAATAAATATTTAAAATAATAAAATAAAATAATTTTAGAGGTTTCTAATCATGTCCAGAATGCTTAGAGTTTAAATATCTTGCTGATCATGAACGTGTCATAGCCTCAGTAGCTAATATATCAAGTGCACAATAAGCCTTAGGTTAAAATTCATCATTAAGAACTGATTCTGTCACAGTGTGGTATCATATATAATATGCTAAAATTTTGTTTAGAATATTAGCACTTATATTCTTGAGAGTTTTTCCCAGGATTGCAAGATTGGCTTAGCACTCAAATCCAATAAAAGTAATTCACCATATTAACAAACTGAAAAAGACACACCATACAATAACACCTTAAGATCCAAATGACTCACTCTGAGCAGAAAAAGCCCCCATGAATTTTCTTCTACGGTATAACTTGTAGAAAAAACTTCGCATGATCAAGAAGCTCCAAATATTACAGTGTCTATACTAGGGGTATTTTATTGAATGTGGTTATGACACTAAAAAAGCAAACTGGACTCACTTCTGTTTCTGAATTAGAGCTTCTAATAACTCAATATAAGATTAGAGTATCTTCCTGCCTAATAGTTGTCACATTATACACACATGGTATCTGATTATACTACTTTTGTACATAAATGTAAAGTTCAGGTAAAAAATGAACATTATCTCTATTATGTCCTTTGAGATTGAATGTCTTATCATTGAAAGAAATACTCAACAAAGAAAAGGTACTCATGTGAAGCTGTAGTAACAGTTAAGGTAAAATGATTGTTTAAACTCAATGACTGAAGTTATCATTTTATCACGTGCACTTACCTAGTGCCAGGCACATATGCAAACCGAATTTGAAACTGAGACTTCTAAATTATATCCATTATTTCTTACTCTAGAAACTTCTGAAACTTAAGGGTGACAGATTTGTCAGAAAGTTCTCTTTACCAACTAAAGGAAGGACAACCCAGTCTCGGTTATGAACTGTCATTAGTAATTTAGCAGAGTTAGAAGGCAGTTCAGCCGAGTAGACAGAAAATTAAAACATGGGCAGCTCCTGATTGAAAATTTATTCATAGCAGGTAATGATATAGCACAATCAGGATCCCTGGTATTACTCAGAATGAGATTTAATTCAGATAACTTTGATGATGGCACTTGAATCAGAGATTATAAATGGTGACAGGTTGTGACATACAGATAGGATGAAGTGAGCATCAGCAAAATATCTCTACTGAAGATGATTTTATATAAGATTATTTTTTCAAACAGGAAATGTAATAATTTTAAAAATTACTAGAAGTTTTCATAAAAGAGGCTTAGGCCTTAGGTACATGATGTACCTTTTTCATATATACTTTTCCATGACTATAATATTAATCAACCTATCAGAGGTAAGGGTTGGAAAATAACTCATATTTCAAAATATAATATATACATTATAGTTTTTTTAATTCATCTGGAAAAGGAACAAACCTAAAATTATAGGCAGAGTAGCTCTTGTATGGAACGGGTCATAGTGAAGGCTTGTTTTTTCACATGTATGTGCATGAAAGGGCTATTCATTAAAGGCACTTACATACAATATATGTTATTTACAAAGAATAGTAAGTTTATATTGGATTTTGTGTACCCTTATAGGTTTTCTAATTATTGACAATAGTGGTACTTTTGAAAGAAAAAATGTATTTTTTTTAAAAAGATGCCTGTTTCAGACATAACACTCTATAATACACACACAGGTGAGAAAAATGGTATTTTCACATAGACAGGTATTCCAATACATCTCTTTAGAATTTGTGAGGTGGCATATTCAGTGTGTGTGGTCAACTCGTTTGATGTGGGAACTTTAAAACATAGCCCTAAAATTCTTTCATGTCCTTTCCATTGAAAGGAATCCATGTTCCCAATCCCTTGAATCTGTAACAGTTTGGCCAATACATTTTAACAGAAATTGTGTATCAGTTTCCAGATCCAGACCATAAGAAATGGCAGCCTCCATGGCTATTATTGAAAACCCTCACACTTGTGAGGTACCCAGGTAAGCAGTAGAGTGGGCTACAATAGGAGGAACTGAAGCCCTTTAACCCACACCCAGCGCTGAGCTCCTAGCAGAGAACCAGCACCAAATGTCAGTCATGTGAGGAAACCATCTTTAAGGTAGATGCTCCACACGCAAAGAAGTCACTCCGGTTGGCACAACATGGAAACGAGAGCTGCTCTGCCTGAACTATGGCTAAACTGTAGATACAGAAATAAAATAAACTGCTTTTGTCTGAACTCACTAAATTTTGGTCTGGTGTGTTAAGCAGCAGTAGATAACAAAAATAGCAGAGTAGGATTTGAATCATGAATGCTGATTATGAAATGACTCCAACATTATATATGTGCTATAAACTATGAGAACAGAAGAAAGAGAATGTAAAAAGCCTCAATTCAATAAATTGCATGTAGTACTGAGAAAATAATTCAAAGAATATGGGAAACTTTAGAATTTTATATATTATAGAATTTAAGTATATAAGAATTTAACTTTGAGATACACATTGGCTTTGTAGGATTTTTATCTATAGTATTTAATGATATTATGACCAATATTATAAACCTATGTAAGAAATATTATTTTTTAAAAATTGGAAAATTTAGATAGAACATCTAAAATGATAGAAATTCATTTTAAGTGAAATTATAGTTACAGAGGACTAGGTCTATAGGATAGAGCAAAGTCAAAAATAGTAACAATAAAAATAGTAATAAGCTAAAATGGTAACATATGTTATTTACCAAAGTAAGCACCTGAGAAAGATTAATAGTCGATTCGATGACAGAAGAAACCAAGGATCAAACAAAAATTATAACTATGTCTTGATAATCCCTTTAGAAAACTGACAACTTTACACCTCAAGAGCTTATGGTACAGAAAATACATTATAATTAATATTTTAATAAAGTGAAGAATTTGATATATACAATTTACCCACTTAATATATTTCTTTTAAGATACACTTCTATAAAAGAATTGTTTTATAATCAAATTTAAAACTTTAATCTATTTCATAAAGTACAGTTTTACAGGATAGAGTCAACTCTTACTCATCCAATATAAACTAGAGTTCAATTAATTGCACTTCCTGTCCACAATCAACATATATATAAGATTTACTTAATAATGTAGTTAGTCGGGCTATATCACAAAATTAGCACATCTGTGTTCAGTCCTTTTTACTTGTTATAAATCAATACTATAAAAGGCAATGTTCCGAGAAGGGATCAAAATACAAAATACCTTTACAGAAGGAACGGTTATTAGCTCCCAAACTCTCCCTTCTTTTTTAAAATGAAAAACCCAAGAACAATGATTAATTGATTCATACTAGAGTGAAGCTAGGCCTGGAACCCTGCCACCAGCTTTTGCCTCTATGTCTTTTCTCATACATTATGCTGCTTCATCTGGTGTGAGTGATTCCTATATGGCTATGAAATACACGGCTGTATGATATTAACAAAAGAGTATAGTGAAACAATTTCATTTGTATAAAAGTCATCCAATTTGTACTAAAAGTTAGAAATCTTAATTTTATCAAATTATTTGCTGAACCATTTTCTACACTACTCATTTTCCAGGTATGTGAATGTTTATATAATATAAAGTATTCACAAAATTCATTAAATTCTTTTCAAAATACTTATTTTAAAAATCAGTTATACATTACTTGATGCTCTGCTAATTTTAATATGCCTGATAACACTTTTCTTTATATTTCCACTTATGGTAAATAACAGATACAAGTTGAGAGTGTTTTGGCTTTTTAAAATTTTTTTGCCATATCATGCTATTTAGATTTAATCACCTAAAATATACTTCTACTCAGATGGTTAAAAAAAAGTTAGAGATATGTTTAATCTCACCAAACTGTTTTAACACTATTCCTTAGCTTACTATCTGTAAGACACATGACTATAAAAACAGTACTTAGCTTACAGCAAAATATAACCTAGAAGAAAGAAAAAAAATAGTACTTACCATGTATAACTAGAGTAGTCATTCAAAATAAATAAAATATGTAGCTAATATAGCTAAAACATGTGGCACCATGTTTGAGACATTGTTTACATACTTATAAATGTTAGTTGTTATTAGTTATAATTATATAGCTGCAGTCTAAAATATGGTGTTATTATTAAGATAGCAAAACATGAAGTATGATTTTAAAAAATAACCTATTTAAAACAATGTGTATTTCTTTATTAAAGGGAGACTTACTAAGGTTAATTCAACCTGATAGTCTTTTTGATATTAAAAAATGCTTCACATTAATCCTTTTAAATGGGAACATCACCAATATATTTGAAATGGCAAAAGATTTATAAAACTAAAATTTAATGCAACTTACCATGAATATGTGTTATACAAAACAAATTAAATTGTATATGTCTGCCAAACATTCTTCATAAAATTACAAAAAGTCATTTTAAGAAATTAAATATCAGTGAGAAGGTACAGATACAATGAATATAGTGAAATTCCTTAAAATTAATTTTAAATAAAGAAAACACTTCAACATTATATGTACCTACCTAGAGTAGGCAAACAATCGACTGTCCCAAAGATCATGATTCCCTCTAGGTCCAGAATGAAAATAACAAGAATCCGTCCCATCAAACATATTCAATCCATCCTCCGAATTTTTTGAGGCATGGCTGTGTACCACATCTAAGAGGACAGTGATACCCATGGAGTGAGCTGTGTCAACCAGTTCTTTTAGCTCTTCAGGAGTTCCATAACGACTAAAGATAAAGAACACAGCAAAAACAAGATTACATCATATTTAAAGCAAACAGCCAATCATTTATTGTGAATCATGTGGTTTATCAATACTGTACTACATACTTTAAATGGGCAAATACCATATGACAGGTAGAAGTCAAGTTGCTTAATATTTGCTATTGAATAAATTTAACAGCATTCAATAAAGAGTTAAATTAAGCTATTAAATGCAGATTTATATCCCAAGAAGAATTCACGCTTTGAACAGTTAGACCATAGAACCCTACCTCTCTACGCTCAGAGTTTCTGATTTCCATCTCCAAGTCTAATTAATCCTGGAAATATGGTCATTCCTATTCACAGGCATAGCTGTCCCTTTGAGTATATATGGTTGGGGTTAGGTGAACTCTTAAGGTATTCCTTTGAAAATCTTTAGGGCCTTGATTGAGGTCATCATTCCTGCATTTATTTATTCCTAAACTGAGATGTGCTCAAGAGAAAATGCCATGTATGTAACTTTTCACCCAAGCTGAAAAGTTATAGATCATATGTGTTTGTGTTAAAAGTAATTTTCTAGTCTACATTAAAGAGAACAAAATCACACCCAAAGGGAAGTCCTTTCTTAATCTGTGTAAAATCTCGGCATTACCATTTTCCATAGCATCAAGTTTGTCTTTTAAATGGTCAGACTGTACTTTCAGGGATCATTTCTATAGTTTCTTATAAGACTGTACTTTCAGGGATCATTTCTATAGTTTATTACATGGTCACCCTTATGATTGTTGGCTCTTCCTCACTAGATCACATGCTTCTTGAGGGCAGGGGCTGTTTTCATGCATGGTGCAGCATAGTGCTTAGTATACAGCAGTTCTCTTAATAGCCAACTCTATTGGGCGGCAAGACCTGCATTTTTAAAATGCAAATAAGATTATATCATCTTCTCAGGATGAATATCAGTGTCCTAATCATGACCTACTGCACTGCTTAATGTGGCTTTTTCCAATAACTTCAAACTTAAAACATTCTACCACTTCCTCTCCCTACCCTAGCTACCAAGTCTTTTTTTCTACTCACTAAACAGTATGTTCAGTGAATGAACACTACTAAAGTTTCATTCATTCATTTGTTTGTTTAACAAATACTTGTTAGGCTATCTACCATGTCATGAAATTTTCTATGCTCTGGGGATTCAGCACTGAACAAAATAAGTATCACTGCATTTATAAATGTTGCATTCTATTTGGGAAAAACAAATAAATAAGCAAGATATGTGGACTCTCAGATAGCAGTAACTTATCTTTAGAAAATGAAGCAAAACCAAGGGTAAGAAAGGCAGGTTTGCTATTTTGACTAAGAGCAGCTATAAAAGTTGCATGAGGCAATATTTGAGCAAAGGCCTTAAAGAAGTAGGGAGCAATGCATGTGAATAGTTAATGAGAAGAGTGCTCAGAGAGAAAGAGCACTGGAGACAGAAATGAGCTTAGGGGCATTTGGAGAACAGCAAATATGCTACTGTAGCTGGAGTGGAATGAACAAGAGTTAAGACTACAGGGGCTGCCAAGACCTGTGGTATGGGGTATTATGGACCTATATAAAACCTTTGGCTTTTATTTTGAAAGAGAATCACTAGAGTATTCTTTGCAAAAGAGTGACATGATTTAACTTTTATTTTTAAATGTTTACTGTGGCCAGGGTGCAGAAAATAGTCCATGTTTATGGAGGGAGGAAAGACTAGGGAAAGTGTAGGAGGGTAAAAGAAAATAGAGTGACCAGCGAAAGAGCTATTGAAATAATAGAAGTAAGATATAACAGCAACTTGGAACAGAGTGATAGCAGCTGAAGCAGCCAGATGTGGGACACATTTTGAAGTTACAGATGGCTAAATTTTATGATAGCTAGAGCTAGAGGGACAGAAAAGAAGAGTCATGTATATCACAAATGTTTTTGGCTTGAACAATTGGAAGATGAAGTTTGCATTTACAGAACTAGGAGAGATGACTGGAGGAGAGGATGGAAAATAAGATCAAGAATTTAATTTGCGATATGTTAAGTATTATGTAAGGATTAGATACCCCAATGTCAAACTGGCACTGTTTGAAGTTCAGGACAGAGGTCAGAACTAGAGAGTTAAATTTGGGAGTTGGCATATAAAGTGTATTTAATCATAGGAATGTGTGAGACTTAATGAGTCCCGAGGTGCTTCATATAAAAAGAGAAGAGAATGAAACCAAGGGCACTGGCAGATACAATCTTTACTGGTCAGAAAGAGTGCAGGAAATACAAAAGAAATCACAAGAAAGGTGGCAAAAACAACAGGGGGTGAAATATTCTAAAAGGCAAGAGAAAAAAAGTTCCAAGGAGGTGAGAGTAACCAATTGTGTCAAATGCTATTGACAGTACAAGTAAGAAGTTATCTTTAGACTTGACAATATGGAGGCTATCAGTATCACTGAAAAGAGCATTTTCAGTGAAGAGGTGAAAAGACTCCTTGGAACAAGTTTAAAAAAGAAGAAAAGTGGAGGAATTAGAGAGAGTAAATAAGGGTAACTTATTCAAGAAGAACTACAATAAAGAAAAGCAGATAAATGAATACAGTCTTTTTTTTGTCTTGAATTCTATCTACCTAGTCCCACTTAACTCCTCCCCAAGTTAACTATTAATCGTGCTTTATATCTCAGTGCTACCAGCAATTCGTGTCTAATCTAATCTAATCTTATCAGATTATATGCTATTATAGCACCCTGACATTGATATATTTGCAGCTGCTGTATTTGACATTGCTTCTATTGCAGGTGGAAATCATGATATGTGGAATTATTGGACTAGAATCTCTATGCTGCTTCAGTATATTTGCCATGAGGCCAAAACAGTGTTAGACATGTTCACCTTGTGATCATTCAGGTCAGCACTTCTTCAACTGCATAGAAGGCCTTGAATCTTTCTGCACAGAAAGCACCATTCCTTAGACTTCAGCCTAGGAAGGACAGTCCTTCTGTGCATAATAGCCCCATGTCCTACCAATGGACTCCTCAGTCACCTTCCTACATGAGTCAATCATTTTCTATAAAAAGATGTGAGTTCTGGCAATAATGGCTTCTGTAAGACATGATTTTCTAACTAAAGCATGGGCCTCCCAATCATGAAAATTTTAGCAAACAACTGAATATTCTTGATCAGAAATCATTTCATGAAAAGCAACATTAATCAAGGTCAATCTCTAAGACTAGATGAGATGAAACTCTATGATCTTAAAAATGCTAACCACCTTATGTTAACTCTGTTAACCCTAAAACAGGTTACAAAATGATGTCATATAAAATATAAAACTACATTTTTTAACTTTTGCTCAAAAAAGAATAGAAGTAGTGAGTCTTTCCTTTTACCTTGAAGCAGCAAAGAAGCTTGTGATTTGGTAACCAAAACTGGCATAATAAACATGTTCCATGATCGCCATCAATTGAATGCAGTTGTACCCTATATGAGCCAAGGCCAAATAGAGATTAAAACCACATTTTGAAAAAACATAAAAAAATATATATAAACACAGGATCCTTGTTCTGAAGACATTACATTTTACATATAATCATTTACATATAAATGACTTATCATTTTATAAAGTTCTACTACTTTAATCTTTTGCCTGTCTGACCTTCTAACAAAATCGGACAGTTAGTTCTTGAGAGTTATACTGTAACTAGCTATTTCAAATGTCTTCATTTTAACAAGTAATAAATTATATGCAAATAGACTATTAATTTGGGTTTAGAATATTAAAGATGAAAATCTCCATATGCTAAACTTCAGCTGTGCTTCTAATATTCATATTGAAGATTATAAATGCTAAATACAAGTAACCAATTGCATGCTATATACTTTTTATTTTACTTTTTTCTTTACTTTTTACTTTCTTCTCTTTCCACTATTTCTTGCACCTATTAAATGGCTCTGAAGTTGCCTGTGTGCATACGTGAGCATATGCACAGGTACACACACAGCCTTCTTTTCTCTATTTGAACATGTTCTGCTCTAACACTAAATGAAGTGACTCAAAAAGGTAGGCACTGCCTTTTCTAAAAATCCATAACATTTAAACGTATTTATTAATGTGTTTTTAATGTAAGCAAATAATCAGAGAAAAAATTATTATTTTTAAAAAATCCTAAAAAATCAGGTTTTTCTTCTTCCAAGGACAATTTGGTGTAATTTTCAAATATATTTTGATTGCTTTGTAAATTATATTTCTGTAAAATGTATAGGAAATAGTCTTATCCTGTTCTCAAAGTCCAGTTCAGGTCAACATAGCTTCTTGTGCACATAGTTCAGTACATAATTAATATCAGAACAATTACAAATTCACATTCAGAAATTAGGGATTGATAAATTTTTAAAAATAACAAACTCCATTGTCCATAGTCTGCTGAAAAGTTTACAATTGTTTGCCTTTTTACTGCAAAAAAAATCAAATTAACTACACTTGGCTTGATAGAAACATATATATAAACAGCTCATATAACAGAAATAAATTATATATTTTATAACAAAATATAAAGTTTGCAGTTTATTTCTCTATTATGCAATAAATATTATTCTCAAAATCAAGCAAAAATTTATAGTTTTATTGTTAATTTTATGGCATTAATCATTCCCAGATTTATTTATGTTCAGAATACTAGCCTAGGTAATTCAAACACAAAGATAAATGAGAGAATTCTTACTCTGCTGAACCTTCTACAAGAACAAAGTCATAAATCATTTATTACATTATAGAATAGCAGAACATCTCAAATATAACAATTTTAATATAATATCTATTAAATATAATCACTGTTAAATACTCTATACATTATTTAATTTTGATTTCTGGAAATTAACCTCATTATCACAGATAATTACAAGCCATATATAACTGAAAACTTTAACCATGAATTACAAAACTTTCTTGCAGCCAAAATTTGGACTGCCTAGCAAAAGCACAGTAATTAAATGTACTTTATCTCCCAGCTTAGCCATTGGAGCAGGTGCTAATATGCTGTGAAATGATAAAAAAAAAGCATAGCTATAAAAAGAAAAAGAATAGGCTTAAAGCACACTGAATCAATAATTCAGCAGTACACCATTCACCTCCCGGTTATTCCCGTGAAGACAGGGTTTGTGTCACCACAGTCCCAACCATTTACAACAACATGTTTCACACAGAAGATTTACCACAAATATTTGTCAAAAATGTCATCCGGACAAGAGCTATATGTACAATGACCTGGATATAAAAATGAGTTCCAGTCATCTTTCAGCTTACAGATGGACAATGTTTTCCCCTAAGTAACTGAAATGGACAGGCTTTCCTCAATGATCACTTAAATGATAAAAAGTTCTCTCCTATAAGAAAGTAATTATGCTTATGTATTTATCTATGATTTTGTACGATACTAGTTCACATTACTTAAAATTGTAATTGGAATAATATATTGAATTTGTATTTTTATACCATTTCTCTTTTCTAGACTATCACTATTACAGGGCAATTTGAGGAGTCTAAAATAAAATTCGTCTCTATTACACATTTAATCTCTTAACACAAAAAGAGACACTTGTAATTAGCTTTTCTAATAAGAAAACAGATTCATTAAAGTTTTATCTGAACAAATATCACAGTTATTACTTACCAAGGTCTCTGATTCTTGGTAGTACATTACATGTAAAATGTTTGTAAGAAGCTACTTTTCCTTCATAGGAAGAAATCCCCACATGAGATTCATAAATTCGTAGACTTCTTGGCTTCTCTGGTCTGGAATGCTGAAACTACAGAGTATAAAGTTAGGGATACAGTTAGAATGGGAATGCAAGTATAACTCCAGCTGATTAAGCATATTTAATGAAAAGGTGAATAAACTCAGACAAAACTCTGGGACTGTTTTCACATTAAAAAACAAAGCCTGATTACATCCACTAAATTTTATTTTGAGAAAAAGTAAATCATTTGTAGACTCATATTAATGAACCTATTTTAAAAGATCAATCGTGTAATGGCTTATGCCTTACCATTGAGTGAAGATATGTTTTAAGCCTATGCCTTAAAGAAAACATAACAGCTGTGAAGTGCATATATAACTATTAAATGCCAAGCACTTATCAACAAGCCCCAGTAACCTAAAGGACAGAAAAGTGAGTACAAAGATAGCTAAATGTCTTTTTTAAAAGTTTTATTTTATTTATTTTTAGAGAAAGGGGAAGAAAGAAAGAGAGGGAGAGAAACATCAATGTGTGGTTGCCTCATGCATGCCCCCAGCCAGGGACCTGGCCACAACCCAGGTATGTGTCCTGACTGGGAAATGAAATGGCAACCCTTTGGTTCACAGGCCGGCACTCAATCCACTGAACCACACCAGCCAGCACACCTATAAGTCTTGTGAATAAGACAGCCTTAACAATTACCCTAATACATTCGCGAAATGTCTTCACTATTCCTTGTTCTCTAAGGACACTGATCCTGCTTCAAATTAATGACAATGGAAATATCATGTCATTGAAGAGCCTTTGATGAATCAGAAAACTTGGTTAAGATTTAAAAAATTAATCAGTTTCCTTATAGGTCACTATGCAGGGATTTAGTTTTATTTCTCCCCTCAACCTTAGAATCACATGATTTAAAAAAATCACTCTTATACTTTATTGGCTACAGATAGTAGAATCTGATATATGTATACCAAACAGATGTAGTATGACATAAATATTAAACCAGCATTGAAAAGTTAAACATTGCTATAAAAGTTATAAAAGTAAACATTAATTTTCCTTAAAATATTGGAACAAGCATTTATTAAAGACTTGTCGTTCTCACTTTATACGTGTGTTCCGGATCCCAGTGTATCCAATCATAAATCACATTATCACCTTCACGAGCCACATACTTCGCCCACGGTGAAATACGATACAAAATCTCTCCACTTTTGCTCTTAATAACTACCTAAAAAGAGAACAAAATGTTATTGTTTTAAAATACTTCAAAACTAAGATAATGTATAATAGTTTATGAGAACTGCTGCAAGTTGGAAAAGGAGGAATGGTCATTAAGAATATAAACTACCATCCAGATGTGTGACCTTAAAGATGTTTTCATTATATGGATCTTGCTTTCCTCACCTGCTATAGTATATGATCCGTAAAGTAACTTCTATCTAGAATATTTTATGATTCTCTCACAATTTCCATCATTGCAAACCAACCATTAGAGTGGTTAATTAAACTCAGCATACAGTAGATAATAAAAGACATGAATATTATTTGGGAACTGCAGTCAATAAATCAATCATCAGGAAGAAATAATCCTACCCTATTATAAAAAAGTGACAGGTGAGTTATATCACCATCTCTTTCTTTTACTCCCATAACAATTAATTATAACATTTTCAAGAAGCTAAGGGAGAAAAATGGTTTTGATTAATACCTGTATTGTGCACACACAAACATATACAACACTGAAAATATTTTCTATCCCTATTCAAATTCTTCCCTACCCTATTCCAAGTATGCTTTCCTTTATAAAGCCAAACATTTTATCTTTTGATCATCCACTCCTTTATTTTCCAACAGTATCACTACTGTAATCAATAATAAAAAATAAGAATAAAATGCAAATACAATTTTCTTGAATCCACCATTTTAGATTTAATATAGAATCTATCAGAAGACTGAATTGATCAACATGTTTATATAAAAAGTAAGCCACATGAACTAAGTGTTCAAGTGATTGAAATTAAAGCTTTTTGTAAAGTCTTTAAAAATTATTTATTTATTTATTTATCTTTAGAGGGGAAGGGTTCCTGTAAACCCTTCCCCTTTTCCCCTGAAATTCCCTCCTCTCCCCCCTCTGGTCCCTGTCAGCCTGTTCTCTATTTCAGTGTCTTTGGTTATATTTTGCTTATTTGTTTGTTTTGTTGTTTAGGTTCCTGTTAAAGGTGAGATCATATGGTATTTGTCCTTCACTGCCTGGCTTATTTCACTCAGCATAATGCTTTCCAGTTCCATCCAAGCTGTTGCAAAGGGTAGGAGCTCCTTTCTCTCTGCTGTATAGAATTCCATTGTGTAAATGTACCACAGTTTTTTGATCCATTCATTTACTGATGGGCACCTAGGTTGCTTCCAACTCTTGGCTATTGTAAATTGTGCTGCTCTGAACATTGGGGTGCATAGGTTCTTTTCGACTGGTGATTCAGGGTTCTCAGGGTATAATCCTAGCAGTAGAATTGCTGGGTCAAAAGGCAGATCCATCTTTAGTTTTCTGAGAAAATTCCATACTGTTTTCCATAGTGGTTGTACCAGTCTGCAATCCCACCAACAGTGCACTAGGGTTCCCTTTTCTTCACAACCTGTACAACACTTGTTGTTTGTTGCTTTGTTTATAATGACCATTCTGACTGGTGTGAAGTGGTATCTCACTGTGGTTTTAATTTGCATCTCTCTGATAGCCAGTGATATTGAGCATCTTTTCATGTGTCTCTGGATCCTCTGTATGTCCTCCTTGGAGAAGTGTCTGTTCAAGTCCTTTGCCCATTTTTAATTGGGTTGCTTGTCTTCTTAGAGTGGAGTTGTATAAGTTCTAAGTTCTTTATATATTTTGGAGATTTAAACCCTTGTCTGAGGTATCATTGGCAAATATGTTTTCCCATACGGTTGATTCTCTTTTGATTCCAGAGAATCTTTATGACAAAAATATTAAGTGAGATTATGTAAACTGCCAAAAATCCCAAAGTCACAGAACTTCTGGTACTCATCTTTCTTTTTTTAAAAAAGATTTTATTTATTTATCTTTAGAGGGGAAAGGGAAGGAGAGAGGGAGAGAAATATCAATGTATGGTTGCCTCTCGTGGGTCCTCTGCTGGGAACTGGCCTGCAACCCAGGCATATGCCCTGACTGGGAATAAAACCTCAATCCCCTGGTCTGCAGGCCCACGCTCAATCCACTGAGCTACACCAGGCAGGGCCACTTCCTTATTCTTAACAGACTTCCACAGCACTTCTGTCAGATACAAAAATAAATCATAATTTAGACCAATGGACGTGGCAAGTCCATGGTGAAAAAGAATGTCTAACTTACATGAAATCAATTATATCTCCTTTATTAGGCCAAGCACTTACTGAAGCCAATCATAGCCAAGGGTTGCTATTAATTGAGTAATTATCACAAAAACAGGAATAAACAAATTCAACATAATTCTGGAGTATTTTAACCCCCAAAATACCCAAAATATGTCCCTTTCACCACATGAGTTTCTAATATAATATTCAGGAGTGATAAGTTTGAGAAAAGGATCTTTTGCTCACTCATCAACCCAGAATAGGTTATGGGGAAACAGAATCCTAAAAAGCAGTTTTCATTGAGTAACATTCTGCCTAATCCACCCATCTATTTTTCCTGTCTTCTGCAAATGGCTCTACAACTCCTCTTATAAACATGAACAAATAAACATACAAATAACTATTTTGAAGACATCTGTTGGTAGAGAAATATTTGAAATTTAAGAACATGAAGACTCTCTTAATGCTAACTATAATTTCCTCATTTTTTGGAATGTTTATCTTGCTATACACATGAAATACCTTCAGAGGCTACTGAGCGATGGGGGTTGGAAGAAATAGTCCCTCTAAGAATCTCCTACACTTCTACTTATTTTGCTTAGCATACCAAGAATACATGGCCCTGTCTATTCTTGACAGGTTCTGGTTATATGTAGCAAACAGCCCTGAAAAATTAGATGACTTCCTTGAAGACAAAGAACAGGCTTGATTACTGTTTGCTATAGAACAATGCATCTCCCAAGGTGAATATTCCTCAGCTATGAGGCAAATCAACCATTTGAGTAGCATCCATCTGGATCATATAGTTTCATCCCTATGGGACTTGGAAGCCAAGGGGGACCAATGCAAACATGGTGCATATACTGCTTTCTGTACCATGAGTAATAAAACCATTTGTCTCAGACTCGGGAGTCCTATGTTTTCTGCCACAATCCATGAAACAGTAACAGGTTAACATAAGTTTGTGGGTAGAATAAAATCAAATCCTACCCCTGACAACAGATTATTTACTCATTCACTGAAAGGCTTCAATATATTTGTTTTCAAAAGTTGTGTTTCTTCATTTCTGTTAGTGTTTTCTTCTTTTTTCAATTTTATTTTTCAATTACAGTTTATATTCAGTATCATATATTAGTTTCAGGAGTACAACATACTGCTTAGACAATCATATTCTTCATAAAGTGGTCCCCCCAATATTTTCAGTACCTACGTGGCACCATGCATAGCTATTACAATATTATCAACTACATTCCCTGCGCTGTACTTTACATCCCCATGACTCTTCTGTAAGAATTTGTAATTCTTAATCCCTTTACCTTTTTCAATCAGTCCTCCAACACCTCCTCTCTCTGGGAACCATCAGTCTATTAGTGTTTTTTATTAGATACATCTATTAGTTATCTCTATTACTGTTGCTTTTTGGAGTGGGCACCTTCAATTATCCAATTTCCTCCATCTTCCTTAGTAATAAAATTATAGCCTAGGTCCATAAATATGCAAAACAAAGCTTCTCAAAAAATCTAGAATACTTATCTCAGATCATTACATAAAAGTTAAATTAATTTTTCTGCTCTTTAGGCCCCTGAACTTTGGAAGTACCTTTGTGACAGTGGTTTACACTTTCCTAATACACTTGCTTATAATAGACACCTACCCTTGCTTTTGATTTACTATTTCTAGATGGTTGTGATAACTGACTAAGGGTATTATAATAAATCTAAATAAATGTAGCATGAGAGACATCCCAATGAATAAAGAATATACTCTTTTTTGGACAAAAATTTGCCTGCAAATTTGTTTATGGGGTAGTGAGAAGAGGGTACTTCACAGATTTTTGCTCTCTTGAGTTCCAATTCAAATGAAAGATTTTTACATAATAAGGCTTTATATCGTTTAGCTTACAACCTCAAAATAGCACATGCTATATAGCAAATTGAAAAGGAAGAGCTAGGGTATTTACCTGAAGAAATTCAGAACATAAAATCAAAAAGACATATATGTCCATATGCCAAAAAGACATACACCTTCATGCGTTCATTGCAGTATTATTTACAATAGCTAAGATATGGAAGCAACCTAAGTGCCCATCAACAGATACAAGGATAAAAAAGTTATGCATATACACAACAGATATGATTCAGTCATCAAAGAGAATGAAATCTTGCCATCTGCAACAACATGGAGGGTTGCAGTAGAACGTACTGTGCTTGAGTGAAATAAGTCAGATGGAGAAGACAAATGCCATGTGATTTCCCTTATATGTGGAAATCTAAAAAACAAAGGAAACAAACAAGCAGAACAGAAGCAGATTCATAGACAAAGGGAACATTTTGACAGTTACCAGATGGGAGAAGGGTTGCAGGGAGGTTGGAATCGTAAAGGGATTTAGAAGTACAAATTGGTAGTTACAAAATAGTCATACGGATGTCAAGTGAAGAACATAAAATATAATCAATAATATTGTAATAACTATATGGTGTCATATGGATACTAGATTTACCTGAGTGATCACTTACTAAACTATATAATGTCTAGTCACTGAGTTGCACACCTAAAAAATATAATATTGCATGTCAACCAAATGTAACTAAAAAATAAAAAAATACATATTTAAAGTAAAAGAAAAAGAGTTGCTTGATTAATCTATCAACAATAAGAAGTCTCATATCTGATGGGTAGAAGCATTCACAGGATAATAACAAATTGAAAGTCTTATATAAGGCTGGTATGAGTACAAAATAGTATAATAGTTGTAAGCAGCAATTTGGCAATATGCACCAAATATTAAAACAATAATTCTCAATAACTCAGCAATTTGAATGACAGAAGTTTACCATGTGGAAATAATAAAAAATGTGCACAAAAAACTTTATCTTTGTCTATTAATTT